CGGGGACCTCGTTTCGTGGCGTAACCAGACGCGGTGAAAGCTCCTGCGCGGAGCTGCTGCTGCTGCTCTCGGGCATCCTCGGAGGCAACCTCCAGCTGAGCGCTGGGGGCTGCTCCTCTCCTGCAGACCCCTCAAGAGGAGCTGCCTCAGGGACAGAGATGGTTTGTGTCCTGGTGCCACCCCTGGTCCCATCTGCGAAAGAGCCGGGCAGACGTGGTGACCTGTACGGTAGAGAAGACGCCAAACCATTCCACATCTTGTTGTCTTTGTGTATGATGTGGTGGAGGTGGCAACCGAGCACTTGGGGGAGTCTCCAGTGCAGAAGACGGCACAGCTTGGGTCAAGAAAGCCACTGAAAGCTGTTCCCCCCCGTATAAACCTGTCTGCAGTCACAGAATCCCGGAATGGTTTGGGTTGGCAAAGCCCTTTAAGCTCCCCCAGCCCCAAGCCAACTCTGCCATCCCACCACAAAACCCCGGCCCCAAGGGCCACGGCCCCACAGGTGTTAAATCCCTCCAGGGCTGGGGACTCGACCCCATCCCAGTCCCCCAGAAGCAGAGCTGCTAACTCCTTGCATCGGGCTGTGGACCAGGGAGCGATCCTGCAAACGTCTCTTTACAGCAGTTGCCGGCTCGTCGCGAAGTCATTTCAGCGAGGGTTCCTGGCAGGGTTGGGGGAATGGTTGGGCTTGATGATCTTGAAGGGCTGTTCCAACCCAGACGATTCGGGGATTCTGTTCTCTGATTCCTCGAGGTCCCTCTGCTCACTCGGGTCCTCACCAGACCCTTCCCGGTGAGGAGAGTGCCCAGCCCAGCCCTCGCCCGCGGCGCTGGCAGGGCTGCAGAGCCGACACCGACGCGTGGGCACGGACCGAGCCCTCCACGGGACCAGGGCTGCTCCCTGGCCGCAACACAAACCCGCTCTCCCGACTCCGAGCAGACTCAGCCCGTGGGCGCTGCAGGCAAGAGGGATGGACAGGACCCAGATCACAGCCCCCCAGGGCACTTACCCCCGCTCTTCATAGCACCCTGCAGGCTTCGGCGCCCTGCCCTGTGCCAAGAAGCACCCCGAGCTCTTTCGGCAGCCTTGGTGAGCACCCCTGCCAAAGCCACCGCCGTGGCAGCCCCGCTCACCCATCCCGTGCTCCAGCACACTGGGGGGGATTCGGGGAGCAGCCCTCTCCCTGCGGCAGGCTCTGCCGGAACCAAACCACCGTTGCC